GCTCTTCAGAGTCTGAAGTGTAACCCTTAGGTGTCGTTCATGCTCTTCTAGTCCTTTCGAGTATATCAGAATGTCATCAATGAAAACTATCACGAATTGATCCAAATAGGGTTTAAACACTCTATTCATTAAATCCATGAATGCAGCAGCTGGCACATTAGTCAACCCGAATGGCATAACCAAGAACTCGTAATGTCCATATCGCGTCCTGAATGCCGTCTTAGGAATGTCTTCCTTCTTAATCCTAAGCTGATGATAACCTGATCTTAAGTCAATTTTTGAGAATACGGATGCCCCCTACAATTGGTCAAATAGGTCATCAATCCTAGGCAAAGGATACTTGTTCTTGATCGTGATCTGATTCAATTGCCTATAGTCGATGCAGAGACGCATCGATCCATCCTTCTTCTTTATAAATAAGACAGGTGCGCCCCACGGTGATGCACTTGGCCGAATAAATCCTCTATCAAGCAATTCTTGTAACTGTACTTTTAACTCCTTTAGCTCTGTTAATGCCATCCTATTTGGGGCTTTTGAAATGGGCTCTGCTCCTGGGGCCAATTCAATAACAAACTTAACTTCTCTCTCGGGTGGTATTCCTGGCAATTCTTTAGGAAATACATCTGGAAATTCTTGAACTACCAGAATTTCTTCAAGTTTTGATTCCTTCCTAACTTGATCCTTAACCATTGCTAAGTATCCTCGACAACCATTATTGAGGAGTCTATGTGCCTCGAGTGCTGAGATAAGTGGCATAGACGAATTCATTCCATTCCCGACAAATTCGAAGCTAGGATGATCTGGTGGGTTAAACTGAATCACCTTCTCATAACAATCTACATTGGCCCGTTGCTTACTAAGCCAATCCATTCCTATGATAATGTCAAAGTTGTACATAACTAAAACTACTAGATCTATCCTCTGATCCACTCCACCTATAAAGATCTTACAATCCCTACATGTCAATGTTGATAGTATCATATCCTTTAGAAGTGTAGAGACACTCAAAGGCACTTCAAGCAATTAAGACTTCAATCCAACTAATCGCATAAATCTTGCAGACACAAAGGAATGCGTAGCACCCATATCAAATAATGCGTATGCCAATTGATCACACAAGGTGAGCATACCTGAAATAATGGTCTTGGAAGCTTCCGCTTCCTCCGGAGTGATCGTATACACTTTTCCTTGCATCGGGGGTCTTTGCAAATTCCTTGGTGATGGTGCTCCGCCTTGAGTTGGTCGTTGTAATTGCTGCGCTGGCGGGGCACTAGGTTGTGGTCTCCCTTGAGGGTAGTCTTTAACAACATGACCGAGTTCTCCACACCCAAAACACCTCTTTAGCGTCGGACACTGTGCATTCCCGTGTTGTCTCCCACACTGGCGACAGTTTCCATTTGGGAATGACCTTCGTGACATTCCGAAATTTCCACCAATTGGAATTTATTGAATAATTGAGTTTTATGAAATGTGCTCGCGATAAATTCTCGCTCGGAAGCTGATCATTCCTGGGAATGCTAACCATTAGGGAAAGGCTAATAGGGAATTAAATTCGCGCGACTAAAGAAAATTCGACCGTGAATGGACTTCGACCATTAAATCGCGTAAGTGATATTTTGAGCCTTGTTGGCCGATCCAAGGATAGTTAGGGGTCGGTTCGCCCTTTGTCCTAGTAGTGGATCGCGGGTGATTCCGTTGGACCACGAAACGACTTGACGAATGATTCCGAAATTATACCGAACGATCGTACCCCTCGGATCAAGTGATTGATCTTCGCGATTTTTATGACAACCGAGATCGTCACGCATCGAACGGACTTGCACGTGACTCGATTCGGTATCGTCATGAGTCGATTCTGCGAGTTTCCCGGCAAGCCGCCCGTTAGCTTGAGAAACGCTCGAGTTGCGTTTAATAGAATTTAATTATGGAATTTTTGTCCAAATTGGACACTGGAAAATTAGGAAGTCACGCCGGAACGTTAGGACGACGTTGTACGTGACACGTATGAAATTTTGGTGTGCTCAAATCCTTCGGAAAAATTCGATTTGGGCAAGAAACGGAGAAAGTGACCAAAATACCCCTAGGATTTATTAAAGGTTATGTTTTAAGGGTAAAGGGTAATTTGGTCATTTCCGCCTTTGGTCAAACTTTCACTATTTAAGTCTAGAACTTTTCTCTCTGCCCACTTTCTTCTTCTTTTCCTCTTTATTGCCGTGAACCCCTCCCCTCTTTCTTTCACTCTCCCGATCTCTCCCTCTCTCTTTTCTTTCCACCGTGAAGACGCGGAAGCCCACCGCCGACACCGCCGCTCGCCACCACCACCCGGACCGCCCTCAAGCCGCCGTACCGCACCACCACCAGCCCTTGAAGCCACCGTCTCTCCCCTCTCTCTCTTTTCTCTCTCCACCGTGAGCTAAGACCCACGGCCGAGCAAGCCCCACGCCGCCGCCGCCCAGCTGGAGGTGCCGTGAGTCATACGCCGTCGCCGTAGAGTGCCGCCGCTTTCCGTTCTAGCCGTTTTAGCCTAGAACGCAGTAAGTCATACTCTAATCCCGATTTAGGATTTTGGGTATCGCCGAACAATTTGATTTTGGGTGAAATTGGACTTGTGCGGGTGTGAAATGTTGGGGCTTTAGACCGGGAATATATGGCGGGCCTTAAGGAATTAATTTGGAATTTTGGAGGACAATTTGAGGAATTTTAAGCTAAGAATCACTGTTCACGAGCTGTGATTCACTGTTCACGAGGCTGTGATGCTCAGTACGGGGACGCAAGTTGGATTTTTAGAACCGGTATTTAATGGCGAGAAAGTCCCGTGAAGGATCGGAATTAATCCGACGCCACTAGAACGCGGGTAAGTCGCGCCTAAACCTAATTTACGACTTCGGGTATCGACGGGTAAATTCGGACGAAATCGTATGGAATTAGGTGCGGAATCACATGGATAGGGGGTGCAAATTTTATGGCGGGCCTTAGGAATTAATTCGGGTAATATTTATTGGAAATTCAGAAAATTAGGGGCTGCGAATTACTGTTCATATGCCTCGAATCACTGTTCACTGGCTGTGGATTACTGTTCACCGAGCTGTGATGGTCCGATTGGGACGCAAGTTGAAATTTTGGAACCTAGATATTATGGCGAGAAAGTCCCGTGAAGGATCGGAATTAATCCGAAGCCGTTTGGTTGGAGAAAAATGGGAATTATCGTATTGGATGCGTATTTAAATTATTAGTAAATTGTGGTAATTAAGTTGAGTATGCTGTGGCGTGCTGTTGGGTATGAGAATGATACCGTTGAGTCCGGCTCGGAGTTTCATGTAAGTGTCGGGAAGAGTCGGTGGTGTGATTTTGTGGTTTGAGTGCAGAAATTACTGTTCACGAGCTGTGGGAGTGCGTGCCTTGTGATGTGGTGAGTCGTTTGATGCGTGTTCGGTACCGTTAGGTCCGTCTTGGAATTTTATGAAAATCCCGTGAAGGGCTGAAAATGATTTGAAAACATTTGAACAAAGAAAAATGTTGTTTTATGCGAAAATGTGCTTTTGTGTGAAAATGGTGATGTAGTGAAGTGTGGGGTGCAAGTGTGCACGGAATTTGAGGCAATGGCATGAGAAAGTGAATGTGGGATCGGACCGGGCGTGTGATGCTCGGGCGCGATCGAGGGGCCTGACGCGTGAGCGAGTGCGCGGGCCGGATGTGGTGAGTGGTCGCGGTGTACGAGGCATGTACGTTTACGCGGGTCATTGGCGAAGAATGAGAAAGAGGAAATGAGAATGGACGGAATAATGGGATAAGAGTGGTATATGCGCGTGTTTACATCGACGGATTGAGTTTGAATGATGTTGTGCGCATGTTTGAGCGACAATATTATTTGTTGTGCAATGTGATGTTTCAGCGTGTGGTGATATTGAGTGTTTGAATTTAATTGGTGCTCATGGTGCATTGCATTGCATAACATAGACACGCATTGTGTATCGAGAGTGAGGTATGTGATGAAATTGTGTGAGAATGCGTGTACGCCATGAGCATGTGATTACCTAAAATGCCCTGGCGTTATACGGCGGGTTCGAGATAATAATAAGTTGTGTGATCACCGAAAGACCTTCGGGTCGTGACCTTGGTCGATACCGTCCTCATGCACTTTGAAGCGGGACGATGCCCGTACGTCCGGAAGCGACCATCCTCATGCACTTTGAAGCGGGCTCTGGTTCGTAAGGAGATCGGTGTTGCGCCTCATGCACTTTGAAGCGAGGCTAGAGACACCGGGCCGGATCGGTTCTTGCGCCTCATGCACTTTAAAGCAGGCTAGACGCACCGGGCCGTTAATAATGTGGACTCGAGTCGTAATTAATAATAAATTGAGAAATTGCCGGTGTGCCGGTGTGGGCCGGTGGGCGGAGAATGCGTATGACATGTAGACGACATTTGCATGCATGGAACATGCATGGCGACATGCGAATGTATGAGAATCGGTACATGAACGTGTGATTGACATACGTGTGATTATGCGTGCCACGCATGTGCCGTGACTATTGTATGTTGATCGCCTAACTGCGGGGTCGGATAATTGTCGACTATTGTGGTATTGTGATTTGAATAATTGTTTCCGATCAGGAGATTGCATGCTAGCCTAGCCTAGGTTGGGTTTAGGGGTGAACTTGCGAGAAGTGTTCTCACGGTTGTTTCAACCAACAATTTGAAAACCTCGACAGGACCCATGAATCTTCCGCCACCGCCACCGAACGTTTGGAGTCCTCGGTGGATGGGACGGTATAAAGGGACTCGGACTCGGAGGACAAGGAATCGGACTCGAGAATGGGTTTTGGCGAGCACCATTTTGGGTAGTAGTAAACCCAAGTTTTCATCCTTGGAGTATCGGTTTTTGAGAAAGGCGATATGCATGTATGGGACGGTTTATAAATGTAAATATTATGGTATAAGAAGGAAATGAAAAAGATATGTATATTCTCCCGATTTTTCTCCCGAGTTTTAATTGTCCGGGTTTAATTGTTGATATCCTTGTAGTAGTAAATCTCGATGGTGAATTTGAGGTCAGCGATATTCTGGGACGTCGCTTGAATCGACCGGAGGCGGTGTCGCGTGCCGTAGGGGTTCGGGGCATGACACCTTCGCTCCATCAACTGGTTATTCCACGATCTCATGATGTTGCCTCTCTTATTATGAACAAAAGAAGGTTTTCCAAATTGGAGGGGCCTTTTGCCAAATCTGACGTTATCCCGTGTGGCTTGATGACTTGCCTTACCTTGTTCTATGGCCTCTAGTTCTCCTTTCATCAACTCATGTTCAATGAGTTGGGCACGTCTGTAAAGTACATTATAGTCCCTTATATCGAAGGGTACTAACTGCCCTCTGATATCAGGTCTTAGCCTATTCAGAAATCTCTTGGTTTTATCCTCCCTATTTTCCACCATGCGAGGCGCAAACCTAGAGAGCTCGGAAAACTTAGCCTCGTACTGATCCACCGTCATATTATTCTGACATAACTGTATGAATTCTGCTATTTTCTGATCTTTAACACAGTCAGAAAAATACTTCTCATAAAATGCCTCCACAAACTTCTCCCAAGCTATTTTTGTACCCATGGGAAACACTGCTTCTTTCGATACTCTCCACCAATGTTCCACATTTCCTTCCAATTGATACTCAGCCAAAAGTATCTTATCAGCATCGGTACAAGTCAACAGGTTGAATATTTTCTCCAAACTACGTATCCACCTTTCGGCCTCGTTGGGGTCTCCCACTCCAGTTTCAGGAATTGTTCAATAAGTCCTTGTGCACGGCGATCACCATTCCCCACTGCCGCTTGCTAATGAGCTTGTTGCTCAAACAATGCCCCTACATTGGCCAAAGCCTCGAGGATTCCATCCACTCGAGGATCCCAGAAGACGATGCACTATTCCTCCTCATATTGTTTTACCAGTTTTCTGCACATTGATCACCAATTACTTTAGATGATCAATCGTCACACTATCTAACAAGTAACAAATGTTACTTACATCACATAAGTAACCATAGTTACTTGTATCTCCCTAACACAATACTAACAAACACATGCATTAGAAGTATTAGGGCGGACACATCCCAGCCTGCTCATCGCTAATACACCTTATCACTCCCATATAACCAACCTTATCGCTCCAATGTAAGCTTCACCTTATCACTCAAATGTAAACCTATGCTCTGATACCATTCAAAGCGCGGCTGTGGCATCCCAGGCACGCCCCTTCCTAAGAGTCACTCTAACTTTACGAGTACATAAGAATTCGCATGCGGAAGACGCTTCTCCTTAAGGACAACATTTATAACATGAATTATAAATAAGGAAAGTCTACTACTATAATTTACTGCATAGAAATTAACCTTCAAGTTTTTTTCTTATTTATAAACACAGGGTGATACAACGTTGAGTTTACATTCGGGGAGACTATAAACAGGGACTTCTCCAACCCGAACTATCTACATCTACTCACCTACCACAACAAACTTCAAAATTTTATCACCCAAGCACACGACTCTGTCTTAAAAAGTGTCAGCCGTGTCTTCCTAAAAATGGTCCATCCCCCAACTCCTCGTCACTAGCCTCACTCGATCCCGCTACGAGCATCGTCATCTGCCCCATCCTCCCCTGGGTATGGAAGAGGTCCCACTAGCCACCCTCCAGTATGAACATATATGGCCACGAACCCTAACAGTACGGGTTCCACTGGGGACCCAATGTCCACAGTCAGAATGGAAATACATCTAACAAAAACCATCCCTAGAAGGTCAGGGTCCACAAACTCAGACAAATGACTCTCGAATTCAACAGGTGCTCCATAACTAATGGAGGTCGATGGGGGAAGTATCGGCATGGCTATAGATCTGTAAAAGTTTGTCACAACAACAGTGAGCTAGGCTCAACAAGTAAAATGTCTATCAACCTATACCAAACAAGAATAGAATGCATATCAACAGGCATAGGTGTAACAGTCTTCTAGCTAGACTTACTAATCACAAGAATCATATTTTGTTGTGCCCATGCTAGTAATCATAACAAGTGTGATACTTTAACTCAGCAATCACAATCAACAGCACGATTGAAACATACACACGCAACTTCACTCTTGCTTGGGTATTATTATCTCACTCCAAGTCACATGCCCGGTGCGCTCGCCGGGCACGTAAGGAGGAAAACTCCCATCTAGCGGGGTTTGGTGCGCACTCCGATCCGTTGTGGTGTACGCCGGAATTCTCAATGGCCCGCGCAGGCTTTGTGATCCACTGACCACGGCATCCTGATCAAACTCCTGGGGCATTTAGGGCATTCTCATCCTAGGCATCGTAGTCCACTGACCACGGCATCCCATATTCCGTACGGCTCTTCGGGGCATCGTCAGTTCACCGCCCGGCGGCATTCAACAACCCAGCAAGCCTACACGCATAATCAACTCATATAGTACACAGATCACCAACAATAATCTATCTTTTTCAATGTCACACAGACAACAACACAACAATCGAATCTTTCTAGCAATGCTTGCCAATTCCAAGCTTGTTTATGAACTTGGCCTCGCTTGCCCCATCATTTGACATCCAATCAAGGTCTATCATAACTTATTTGAAAGCTCAAAATGTTTAGACTCTGACTCTAGAAGATACCAACTCGAGATTCTCACGTTTTCCCTTAGAAAATAGTGAATCTTTGTAAAAAGGTAAAACCGGCAGTTTCGCGCCGGTTTTGAAATCAGCTTAAAATGATTAGTGAATGAACTACAAAAATTCTGGAATTTAAATATGTCACAGAGAAAACCTTGATAAACAATTTTCATGAAGGATTAAAAGTCTAATTATTTCTGTAAATACCTCGTTCGGGAGGTTAAAGTCAGACTAAAAACTATTTATTGGAACAGAATTCTTGCTTCTCAACATGAGTTCATTTCAGTAACCAAATCATCTCCGAAAATTCAAAAATTTAAATATGTTGTAGATAAATAAGTCCTCAAGAACTTTTGTGAAGAAAGTTTGTTCAGAATCATTCTAGAAAAGTTTATAAAAAATCAAGAACGTGGAAAGGTCACTGAAACAGCGCACCCAGGTCACTGAACATGGTGGTGATGCTGCTGTTAGTGAGAGGAAGGAAATGAAGTGGGGACTTAGAATGGCTCAATAATTTGTTGACCGAATGATTGAAAGTGGATGAAGTGTTGGTGATGGCGTGGAAGATGGAAAAGCAGAAGAATGGGCTGACCATGTAACTTTGTTGCATGAAGTCGGTGGAAAAAGAAATGGCGTGCAAGAATTCAACTCGGGTTGATAACGTGACCAAAGTTCGTAGTGTAAACGAAGGACATGATAAGGTCAGGATGGTTAATTCGTAACACAACGTTAACGAATGAAATGATAGATAATTGTAGAATGGTCTTGCGGTGGGTGACAAAGTGATGGTATGGTGGTTTCGTGATAATAACCGAGTCTTCCGAAGTTGACGCTTCCATAGCTTGTCGACGGTTATTTAAATTCCCACGTATGCTCGTTAAACCAACGGACAAAATTTTTGGGATGTCACAGAAAATATGTTTCGAGTTTGAGTTCGTATAAAAAATCTAATCCAAGTTCGTTTTCTATTAGAGTTGGATTCCTAACTTGAGTAGATTTATTGTTTTGGATCCAATTCTTGTCTAGATTTGAGAAGTAGATGTTCTTCATGAATTGTATCCAAGAGATTGCTTTTGCGGGAGTTACTCCCCGAAGCAATTAGAAAGTGTTTGAAACCGTGAAGATATTGTGGTAAGATTTTGTGTTATTCTTTTTATGATACTGAGAGATTATTTTATGAGAAATTATTTGGGTTAAACACTCTTCAAGTTGTTAAGTATAATGATTGCCCACCCGCATGATCTCCCTTGCATATTAGTGGCTTAAGTTCAAAACTGTAGAATTTAATTGAAGCTATATTCGTCAGTGTCTGCATTCATGGTGGTGGTAGTAGTAATGATAATGATAATGATAATAATAATAATAATATCGATTATAACAATAGGAATAGTGACAATAATATGTGTGTGCACCAATTAATAAACAACCGGAAGTCATTAACGAGTTCTAGGTTAATTTCAACAAGAACCATACTTCACCGCACATACATATTCATGTATCGTGTTCTTTTCTTCTTCCTTAAAAAGCCCAAAAGAAGAAAGAAAGAGGAATCCCAAAACCTGGCCTGAACCGAACCAAACTGTATTTTTGGTTCGGATCACGGTTTCGGTCAAAACATGCACACATCCCATACGGTTCGGTTCAGTTTGGGCATCATGAAAAGCCACCGAACCGAACCGTTGACACTCCTAAGGAACAATCGTTATTAGCGATGTAAATTGCAAAAAAGATATATTGCAGAAACCTAAATATAAAGATAAAGTTGCAGAAGAACGTTGGTTATGTAAGTGATTCAGGGATCATACAAAGAGTACACTTGGGGTATATATAATCCACATTCGACAGTTACGCAAACGGTTACTGAATTTATAACTATTTATAACTTAATAATTCTATATGTGGTTATAAGACGTTATACCATGCCCACTATATTGACGGTAACATCAACTCCACTGTCTTGACGACTTTGTTGACTTAATAACCAATACGGTTACATCACATACTTTTCCCCATTGATGATATTAGTCTTCCTCATTTACGGACTTTTGCTCCACCACTTGACTATTTCACGTTGATAAGGAACAAAAGCTCAAGAACTACACATGGATTAATTGTTGTTAGAGAAATGATTAAGCGACAGTTTTTAATCTATTGTGAGAATAATAGCATGCTCTGGACTACAAAAAAAAAACAAATGATTAAAAATTATTGTGATTTCACTCCTTCAAGAATTTGTGGGTTACAATGTACTGTTACTCTCACAGTGACCCAAAGACTATTATACTAGCAAAGCTCTTATTCTTATCCCATCAAAACTAAATAGATTGTCATTGGTGACATGTAACAATTGTGGATCAAATTCAATATCCATAAGAGAGGATCATTCTAATTTTTGGGGATGTTCTTCGATCACTTTGTGGGGTGCTAAGGGTCTTCCACTCATTTTTGAAATCCTTCAGATTTCTTCGTAATCGAAGTGTAATTTACTTCTAAAAATTTTAGATTTCGAAATTAACAAATTTTAAAACCTGTAAAAAAATGTTGCAATATCTCCATTAGGATTGCTTGTTTTAATTGACGGAAGGATCTGATGTAGATTTTTTAATTGGTTCCTTTTTATTTTCATTTGTTTTAGTACAACTGATGGTCACAAGGTACCGTAAGGGCCACATCAAGAAAGTACTCAAAAACAACAAAAAAATCGAGAGAGAGAAGGGAGGGAGAGGGATGGATTTTGCAGCTACCACCAAACCCTCGTCCAGAAAAATGGGGATAAAAACTCCATACGACGCTCACTTAATTGTCATAACTGTTTTTCCGATCACTTAAGTACTAAACTTTTAAAAAATGTTTACTTAAGTGCCAAAACTTTCTATATACGATCACCCTAGTGTCGGAAATCCGACGTGGCATAACACTTGTGGTGAACGTTTTCAAATAGTTATGA